CGTCAAAGATTGGGTCGTCCTGCAACTCAAGTTTCTCTCACGCCTCCGAACCGTCCCAACCCGAGGTGTCCTGCTCGCCAGCGTCCCGTGATCAACCACCCCTCAACGAGCGTGCCGTCTCTCGCTTTGAACGGACAACGCTTCACTTTCGAGTTTGAAATTCTTTTAGGGCCCTTTCAGCGATTTCAAATTTTTGAAAACGGTGTGAGGTCGAAGAAAACCCGCAGTGGACGTTTGTGAGCTACGTGACGGACTATGTCGCGCCGGTTCTGCGTGAAGGGCTTCCCGGGCGGAGTCACAACCAAAATTACGACATACAGACACCAAACCAGTCTTGGGCAATAACTAGTTATTAGTAACGCGTTACCGCTAACTATACTTTTTTCAGTATAACTTGTAACTGCAACTCGTTCCTGCCTAGTGAAAATAAATTGTAATTGTAACAGGGTTACTATTTTTCGAAAGTATATATCTGTAAAACATGCCGTCGCTACAGTTACTTCTTAGACTTATGTGCAAAACTAGTACAAACACGATTACCAAATCGTCTCGCAACTCGTCAGAGAGTCCCAATTCCTTATACGGGAAGGGCACAGCAAAACTGCTGCATAAACCATCCAAAGCTCGAGCAAAAAAAAAAAAAAAATACTAAATTTGAGTTTTTCCTGTTCGGCCAACCTGGTCCCGCTAACTAGAAAGATGTGGACGTTTGCGTCCGTACCCGCCGTGTATAGTGCATCGCCCACAACGCACGCAGATGTAACAAAGCGCGGCATCTCCAAAGCGTTTTCTTTTCTTCGTCCGGCGGAGAGAGCAAATGCTTTTTGTGGCGGACAGATTTTGGTGATTGTCGCCCCAAACGCCCGCACGCTTTCGGGACAACCGATTTTCCGAACCCCGTGTTTTTGCCGCTAATGATACGGTTTCTTCCCCCCTAATTTGAATCGTCCAACTTCCAGATGCACTTTAGTGAAGTCTCGACTTTCGGCCCATTTGCTCTCCTCTTTTCTTCTATTGCTCTGCTTGTCGGGTCCCGTCACTCGAGAAAAAGTATGCGCTCGAAAAGTTTGTGGCGTTCTGCTTGTTTGCGTGTTTTCTTGAAACTGGAAGATAGCCCTTAGCCGGGGATCAAAGACACTTATCATTACTTGAGTTTGTTGATATTCACGTCGTGGGCTTTCCGGGTGGTCCCTTCTAGTTGAGGGTGGTGAGATGGAGGAGCGAAAATGTGTCCGATCTGGTGAGGAAGTGGTGGGGAAAAGATCGCAAAAGCCGCTTGAAATTCTACACGCAGTGGTCGTTTGTACCTCAAAGATTGCTTCTTTTACACCGCTGCCGTGTTCAGCGGGTTTGGCGGAGGAATGTTGCCTAAACATAGCTCTCCATCTTTCTAGAGAAGCTTCGTGTTTTATGAGAGATTGTGCGCACGCAGTAGAAAAGGATTTGATTGACGAGTGAATTCGAGTAGCATAAGAAAACATCTACAAAGCTGATTGCAAGGTATGACTTATATTAATTTGACGTTTGCACGATTTTTATTGCTTCCGTCCCATATCGCCTCACCAAAGAAATCTAAAATTAGAATTGACCGATTGTAAACTCGCACACACATGGATATACCCGAGATCTAGACACGAGCGGTTATATTCGTGTATACCTTATGGTGGTCGCGCCTATTATAAAGTTCTTTATGGATCATAAACACGTATCTGCCAACTTAACATTTTGAAAAAAGAAAAAAAAACTAAAGTCGTCTGTTACTTTTGCCAAAGAACTGTAAATACTTTATCATACAGTGGATTGACCGGATACGGTCTTAAATTATGATATTGTTCAGGGATCTAGTTGTGGTAAAAATTGAAATAGGAAAAATAAAACATGTTAATATTGAATATTAGGTTCAAAATATCGGATTGACTACCGTGAACATGAAAAATTTATGCTAATTGAAATGCATATTAAGGGAGTTCCTTTTGAATGTTTTCTAATATTTGTTCTTGTAGTGTGACGACGAAGAGCGTTACTTTAGCAAAGTAACTGTAACTGTAGCAAGTTACACTTTAAATTTCGTAACTGTAATTGTAGCAGGGTTACTTCTTTTCCCTGAGTAACTGTAACTGTAACTTTAGCAGTGACGTGCCCATGACTGCACCAAACCCTGTTGTTTTGGCCGTTTGACGATTCTCTTTTCGATATTTGAGGGTCGTCGGACACCTAAATAAGATAACTTTGTCCGATTCTTCAACTCGCCGATCATCCTCAGTGCTACAAGCGTCGAGCCCCGGCTTGTTTTCGGAGGGGAGGATAAAAAGCGTGGGGGTGACATCACATCGAAATACGACTTTCGGCATTTCAAAAAGGAGGGTCGTTGTGCGTTCGCAATTGTGTTCAAAAGCATATTCTACGAATGCCATTATTAAATATTATAAAAATATCGCTTAGAAAGCTTCTAAATTTTATAATCGATTACGTCGCAAATAAAAAGAAGCGAGTAGGTGAGAAGAGGGAGAGAAAAAAATGCCAACAATAAAAAGGCGCGCGCGCGCGAGGTGAAATGCTTTTTTCCGCTGTGGTATTTTTTGGTGTGTATATAAATACAACTTGCATCGTTTTAGACAACAACAAAAATACAACCTTTGGGGTGTCAGTACCCTTTTAAATGTAGCAAATAAGCTTGTAACGTTTAAAAGGTTAAAAAGCGCGAACTTAAACACGGACGAAATAAGGCACACGCGCAACAAAAACGGGCTCTCAAAGGATACGGAACTTGTTTACCTGGTTGACGCTGGTGCGCTTCAAGCGTTTGCGTTCTTAACCTTCGCACATGTGTTATTTCTCGCCGCACTTTGTGCCCAAGTTCAATCTATTACTGGTGCTTACTGTTTTTATAGTGGCATCTGAAAAAAAATTCAAATTTTTATCCGAGTGAAGCGGGTTGGCTCGTGATCGCATTCCCGATCGCTTACTTCATCTCTCTCATGTTGGAACCGCATCTCGCTGTTGTATTATCAGATAAAAATATCATCTATAATTTTAACGTAAACTTATACTTGTGGATTGATCGTATAGTGTTCAAGTGGGCATCTACGCGCTACCGGTGTAGAGTAACCCTATTTTGTTCCGCCCTGCAAAACTCACCTAAAAGACAAACAAAAACACACACACACAAAAACTTTTTGTATTAAAAAAATATTTTTTTTCTAGCAATTGTCAACGTGTCCATTAGGGCAGGAATAGCTGACATCCAAGTTGATAAGCGTCTGTCCGGTTACATGCCTGATAGAGCAGTGTGGAATTATGGTTCAGAGTCAGATCACTGCGAACAAAACGCTTATATTTCTAACTCCGGAATATTTACACGTGTTCAGGGCGGTCCGATGCCGTGTCCTCGCTGTCCAGCTATCAGTCAATCTTTTTCTTCCCTCTTGTCGTTACAGAAGCCAGTGAGGAAATCTATTTCCTTCTGCAACCAGAGGTCGTGATGCATTTGGCGCTCCGTCATCATCCGGGGCCTGGCAATCGCCGGCCGCTTCCGAAGGAGAGATTGTCTTCTACAGGTAAGGTCAGAGTCGCGGGTTGCGACAGAGCACGCGATCCGCGACTAGGCACGGATCGCGTGCTCAGTCGCGAATATCAGTCGCGAACATTGATCCAAAAGGACCAGTAGAATTTGTCATCAGATAATCTCTGCTAGGTCATCTCCAGCTTCCCAAAGCCATTGTCGTAGTTTGTTATGCGACAAAGGCCCCTCACCTTACTTTCTAGCCCACCATATACGTGAGAGCCTACATGTAGATAGATGGGCGGGCTTATCATTGTCCGTGAAAAAAAAGAAAAAGAAAAAAAAAAGAAAATAGCCTACGTGTGCAAAAAAAACAAACAAAAAAAAAAAACAAGAACAAAACAAAACAAAAAAGTCACCCGAAAGTTGCAAACTATTTATATACCGACAAAGAAAAAAAGAAGTCCAATACAATGTAAAAAAAAAAAAAAAGAACAACGCGTAAATATATAGATGTTTTTCTTTTTTACAAAAACCCAGCTATCAATCAATCTTTTCCTTCCCTCTTATCGCGACAGAAGCTCGTGAGGAAATCTATTTCGTTCTGCCAGCTGGACGGGGGACCGGCCCCGCGAGCAGCCCACTGGGAAGCACTGGGCCCACATCGCCCGCAACATCGGCCCGCGCCCTCACCCGCGGGCTTCATTACACGTCGTCAGCACCTCTCTGTCATCTATACGTCGTCGTCCTCCCCTTGTGCATATCATCTCATAATCAGCATCACTAGACGTGGTACCGCGGGCCTCCTTGGTACGGGCTGTCGCCTTTCCGCGGTGCCACGGCTCTCCTGAGCCAATAAAGATTATCATTATCGTTATCGCCAATGTATATTTTTTTGCCATATCATACTTAAGAGGTTTATTTATGCGCAGTGAATACTCGTGTCGCCGGTAAATGCACTCCTTTGACGATAATAGCCCGGAACAATGTTCGCGCCTTCCAAATTTCTTGGAATTTTCGGTTTGATTGTAGGTGCGCCTTTACAGTCGCCGACAGCTAAACAAGCGAAGGACGCGGCGGGTTCCGTACATCTCATTATCACTTAACAGCCAATCAGATTGCTGCATTAGCCGATAAGAACGCCCAACAACCAATCAGGGAGCGTGAACGTAATAAACCACGCCCTGCCTGTCTTAATTTGTTAGTGACTACCCGGAGATCAAGTTCGTCTGCTCCTTGCTCAGGGGCTGCGGTGACGGGAGAATACCGGGCTCTTACTGATTACGATTGAAAGAATAGTGGGTATAGGCCTCGAGGCAGCTATACTTCGTTTCAGCTTCGGTCCGAGCGCGGCCGATGTTATGAGCCGAAGGGCCAATAAACAGCGAAAGA